GGTGGGTTTGTAAACTGAAATTGGAATTATCTCTTTGAAGTTCCATTTGGATACATCAGACTGAAGACATTACGGAAACGATCTTCTTCTCCCCTCGGTTAAGATACAAAAATCTCTTATATAGGTTTCATATACGTTTATATAAGAACAGTCATAGATGCGTCTAATGATTCAAGTCAAAATATTGAGGGGAGATAGGCCTGATTTTATATCTCATCTCATGATTAACATATTTTTTAAACTTCATAGTTCATCTTATGCTTGCAGAAGCTGAACTAAGGTGATCCTAATCATCCCTGTGATTTAAGTCTTTAACATCTTGTTTGGCATTCAAAACATACTTTCTTGCATGTGAAAGTAAAGTAAACTATTAAATATTCATTATAGTTAGAGGAGCTGAACTAAGGTAAGCCTAAGGTTTTCACTCTTTTGAGTCGTAATTCTCTTTTATCAAATATAAACTCAAGATTCCGTATACCTAGATCAACTGCTCTATCATACAGCTCTTCCGATCCAATAGCTAACTGTATTTAAATATCTCCTTGTCGAAGCTCATTGAATTGAAACTGAAAGATCATCAAAAAAGAAGAGATGAAGCAACGCACACACCCACACAGCTGACAACTGCCTGGGCAGCTGGACACTTAAGTGAAGTGCTCCGATTTGGTTGGAAGCATCATTAAGGACTTTTCGTTAAGGAATTCGGAGAATAGCTAGAGCAATGGGATTGGGAATAGGAATTGGAATGGCTATAACAGAGCCACCCCCACGGCTGGATGGCAATCGTATTGACTGAAAAAAGGCGTCCATTCAAATGCTATCAGAAAGTTGGCCGAACGCTCGTAAAATCTCAAGATGGACAGCGGACGTCACATAAAGAGCGCGCATAAATTTTTGGCCAACAATTGAAGTCGGCCAAAACGAACGAACGAACGGCTGCTAATTGAAAGGCACGAGACGGTCCGCATAAGATCAGGCAGCCCAGCATCTGGACAAATATTTACCGAAGCTTCACCTTTGGCTCGTAAATTGCCGCCTACAAAGGGCCGAGAGAGCGAGAGAGAAAGGGAAGGAGAGGGAGAGAGTATGAGAATGGGCCCAAAATCGAAATCAATATCCAAGTGAAAGTAATGACCGCTGTCCGTTCCCTCCGTGCGACAGATCAGTGCTGGACAGAGACATTAGGCTACTGTTCCTGCTCCTGCTTCTGCTCCTGCTGCTGTTCCTGCTGCTGCTGTTGTTGTTGCTGCTGCTGTTCTAGTAAAAAGAAAATAACAACACACGAGACAAATCTGGGCTAAGACACCTTGCGACGTCGCCGTGTGGGTTTTTCTTACCTTTCTTATTTTTCTTTTGCAACTTTTTTTTTTTTTTGTATTTTTAGTGTGCGGCAGCTGTTGACGCTTTGTCTGCCGGCAATGCTGGCCGGCACAAAGGATACGGCAGGTAAGCCGCTGCCTCCAGGAGAGCATACAATGCAAAAACGAAAGAGAGAGAGAGAGAGAGAGAGAGAGCGCGAGAGGCAATGTGTTGCTGCTCTTAAGCTGCTCAACAACATGCGCCATCTATCGTCGGGTGGCAGCAGCTCAATTTAATCTGTGAGGCAACTGTTGCAAAAACTTGTGTCGAGAATGGGTTGCACGTGGAACTGATAAGTATAATGAATATGAAGAAGAAGATCAAGAAAGTCTCATTTGAAAAAATTGAGCTGGGATATTTAAAGGTTTAATAGGGAACAAGAAATGATGGATGCTGGATTTACAGCAGCTTGAGTATAATATAATGCTGAATGAATGATGCCAAAAATATACAGCTGCATTTACAGCGACTGAGGCCTCACTGCATCAGTTGAGGCGTATCGGTCGAGCACCTGAAGCTCTATCTAAATCAATGGACTCTTAAGTTATCAAAATAGTGTATACATTATATAGATATGTAAATATAAATAAATATGAAACTAGACGACTTTTGGTTCTGGTAAATTCGATCGGCAGAGATTCCTCAGGAATTCACACAAGCCCAAGGACATTGACAAAGTGATCTCGTTTCCTGCTGGCTATTATTTGTATCTTTTCTGGTCTACATAGATCTCTGCTCTCCCACTCTTTCTCCTACTCTCTCTCTCTCTCTCTCTCACACACACACATTTACTCTCTCTCACTCTCTTGGGCTCTCTTCTATCTGTCTGTTGGGGTGGTTGCTCGGGCGAAACGAACCCATAAACGTTTCGAGCTCTCGATCCGCTCGTCATTTCCGTTTGTTGCCTCGTGCGCTGCAGACGTTCACGCGCGGTACGAACAGTAAGAACACCCAGAACCTAAATCCAGCAGGAGAGCACCACAACAGGATTCCTAAGCTCTGATTCAGACTGGACTCAAACACGTAGTCTATCCATTTTTTTTTTTTGCTGTGCGCCAGTTAAAAGTGCTAAGGATTTATATATTTAAAAGTGAAACTACAAAGGCGACATAGTCGCATATATATAGTATATATAACTATTCATATACATATATATATATATAGAGAGAGAAGGAGGACACCGAGCTCAGCTATCAGGTAAGTGCAGAGTGTTCCGCTTATCTAAGATCGTGTCGTATTCTAGATTGTGAGTAATCGATAGCTTATGTTGGGCTGTTGCATGTGATCCGAGTACTCGGTCAAGTCTCAGCTACATCGATCGCTCACACCTGGCAATACAAACACACATACACACACACACACACACTTACACTCATAGACACACACATGTGTGTGAGTGTGTAATTGCGCTCGCACCCATGTGCCGCAACTTATTTGTCTTTTGCCCCAGCTCTAATTTTAATTTGGCCAAGAAATGGGCAAAGGGAAAAGGGAAACCCTAAATGACCTAACCCCTAGAGTCACATCCACACACAGATCACAGACAGACTGAGAGACCCACAACTAGGAGACTTACGACTACAGTAAAGAACAAAATTAGTTCCCTGCAAAAAGGGGTGGTGCGCTGCTCTAATACATTTAATTTGTTGCTGCTTTTCTTTCGACCTTCTTTCCATCACTTTTTTTGTTTTTGGTTTTTTTTCCCCCTGCTACCCTGGGCGAGCTGCTAATCCTCGATCAGAGGAGGGTGCGAGCGGCATTTTCGATTGCAGATCGAACTTCCAACAGATCTTAAGTAAATGGAAAAACATTTTTTTTTGCGCTCTCGCCTTGACTGGCTGCAATTTTTTAATTTTCTTCAGGGTGACGTTTATGGATTACATGAATGCCCTATTTTYCTTTCCGATTGTGCGTGTGTCAGTCACTCAGTCTGTTTGTCTATGTGTGTGTGTGTGTGCGTGCCTGAAGGCTAGATAAACAGAATGAGAACGATCCTTTCGTTCCATTCGAAAAAGTTCCTCCTTTGGCAAAAATGGCATCATTATGCTGGGGCGTAATTGTTTCACACACACACACAGGCAGAGAGAGAGAGAGAGAGAGAGAGAGAGAGAGAGACAGACACTGCCAGATCCTTTATTTTTTTTGGCAAGGACTCGTTCAATTTTATGGTTTGCGGCGTAGCAGAAAGAAGAAGAAATCTATTTAAGTATAAGGCAGAAGGAATCTTTGCTGGAAATTAGCATAAGCATAATTTGAATTCCACCAGGCAAACCAGAAATCGCGCGCGCATCAGAAGGTCCTTTAAAGGAGCCGCAGGACGAGTACGTGAAAAACTCGTTTGCCGCAAAACAATTTGCAAAATTTCTTGCTTCTGCCCATTGTCTTGCGACGCTTCATTATAACTACGAATTCAATATAGCAAATACACACACAAACACATATATATATATATATCTTCTTATTCTTTTTTGTCAGCCAGTTTGCATGCAAAACGAAAACTCGCTCGCCAGCTGCCTAAGCTGGCCCAGATAGCACCTCGACTATGCTGAACCACCTTTCATATGATCGAGATCTTATCATATGATACGTAAACGATTCAATTTAGCTTTATTAAAATAACTGTAATGTCTGCAAATTGGCAAAGAAAAGATGATTTTTGTAGAGCAGTGGTCTCTCAGCAAAGGGAACTAAAGTCTGAAGGAATTGAAAGGGAATATATATGTATGTACATATATGTGGGAAACTATCTATGTATATAATTGCTATGTCTAGAGATTATTAAAAACTCTAATTTGAGATGTACTACTTGCAATAAGTATACATAGTACTCCCTGAACTCATTTGACATACATCAACTAGACGAGTTTAAAACGGTACGGTTATTGCGACAAAAATTCTGGTCCTCAGACAAAGTTATATGAACAAACTTGTATAGTTATTGCATCTTCTGGATGTAACGACGGCCTCTTAATCGTCGGTATTATCGGACTGTACTTTATATATATAAATATATCTATAATATCATATTTATCAATTAGCTGCATATAACAAGTGGGGAAGAAATACCTTAAAAACATGCGAGTTCGGTATATCGAAAGCTCTTCTGAAAGATAGATTACTTAATATTTTCATATCTGATTTTAATTTTTAAGAAGCTTTTACGTTTTTTGAGATATAAGAAAAGCTTCTAAGAACTAAAGTTCTTACGAGCGTGCTTAAACTTTTCATACATCATTTGATTTTGCTTCTATATTGTTAAGCGATTTCCTTAATTTTAGGCTCATTTACAACTTTTACTTTTTTTTTTTTTTTTTTGAGCCGAAAGGTCTTGCTAAGACTTGCAATCAATCATCAGAGAGTGCACTCAAAAAGTTCGTTTATTACAAGCTTAAGCTAATGCTTCAGATTATACTTGACTTTGTCATCTATCGGAGCTTTAAAGCTATTTTAAAGCTATTCCTCAAGCTATAGCTATTCAGCAATCTAAAGTTCAATTTATATGTAGCTTTTAAAGCCTACTCAAAATGTAATTTAATCAAAAGCTTTTCATAAAGCTACTAATTATTGTTAAGATTTTCAATCTTCATTTCTAATCCAATCTCTTTTTCTGTCTCCCTCCCTCTCTCTTTTTTGGTTAGGACATGCCCACCATGACACGCATGCATCGGCACTCCAGCTCGAGCGGCGTCGAGGAGACGCGCGGCCGGCGTCGCAATGCCAGCGGCGATGCGAACAAGGAGAACTTTGGGGTCCACTTCATGAGCAGCCCCTTCGGCAACAGCAGCCTGATTGCACTGCAGGATCTGAGCAACGTGCATGCCAAGAGTCCGCAGCGGCGCAGCTTCAGCGAGGGCAGCGGACCGCGTCAGGCCACGCCGCAGTTGGCAGCGCTGCGCTGCCTGCCACGCCTGGGCGGCGCTGTTGGCGCTGCGGGGGGCGGCCTGGAGGACTCGCAGTTGTCGTCCTCGCGCATGGGCGACACCACGCTCGATCGCATGCTGGACGCCATTATAGAGTCGGCGCGCAAGGAGGTGCGCTGCAAGCATCAAACTGCATCAGCGTCGACGGCGGCGACGTTGGCAGCGACGCCTGGCGATGGCGAGTGGAGCGAGAGCAGCGTCCACGAGATGGAGGTGCGCACGCCCACGCATCTGAAGCGGCAGCGCGTGGTGCGCCGCAAGAATCAACAAAAGCAAGCCGCAGTCGCTGCCGCTGCCGCTGCCACTGCCTCGACCGCAGTCGGGAGGCAAAAGAATCTGGGCCTGAGCAAGCAGCCCAGCCTGGAGCACATACCTAGCATCAAGCGTTGCCTGAGCTTCTCCTCTTCGAGCTCCGCATCCAGCGACTTGGAGGATGAGGAGCACTTTGCTAAGCGTGGCTCCATGGCCTCCTGCGTCTCGGGTGCCTCCTCCAACTCCAACTCCAACTCCGCCTCCCATTCCAATGCGACGAGCAGCGGCGAGTTTCATCCACGTGGCAGCATCGACTTGAGCATCGCTTACGATGCCCATCAACAGCAATTAAATGTACATGGTGAGTTCCAGAGTCCCGCTTCCCCTATTCCCCATCCCCTCACCCACTCCACTTTATCCCTATATAATGTGAATTCATATGCAGAGACCGAACGTTATCTCCATAGACATTTTCGGTCTATAAGGATGTAAATATATTTAGAGTGGAACAATGAAATGAAAGAAAAGAGATGGTAGTCTGGAGTGAAACGCTCTTTATTTATTTTCTGCCTAGCTTTCTTAAATCATAAATTGGAACGATGAAATGAAATACTAGAACAACTAATTGAAACTAAAGATTGGTTAGCTTGAAATAAAATGTACATTTATCTCTATTTACCCAACTTAAACTTCGTAAATCGAGCATTTTCTCATTTGAACTATACAATGAAATAGGGAACAATGTAACAAAACAACAAAAAGGAAAAGGCTTTCTCATGCTGGATTAATCAATTAATTAATTAACTGTAAATCTTAAATCAAGCTTTTGCGTCCTGAAAACAATGGAATGAAACAGTGGAACACTGAGAATTTGTTGCCTGCAATGAAGCGCTTTCTAATGCTCATATCCTCATCATTAAGATTCCTTGGAGAAAGCATTTAGGTCATTGGAACGATGGAATGAGCTAGCAAATGAAATTTAGTTTCGCTATTTCGATTTTTTAAATGAAACATACATTCGTATGCTATGCGATATCTATTTGATCTGAAGAGGGATAACACATAAAACATTCAATAATTCTAGGCATTAAATATTAATACAAGAAATTCCGTGAGAATCAGGACTACTATAGGCAGGTATAGAAATAGTTAGTAAACTGCATAGAAGACCTTCAGAGTTGACCCAAAAGAAAAATAAGCTTAAAGTCAATGAGATAATGTAACAAATATATGAAATTCCTTTACAGTTATACGCTGTCGCGATCTGCAGCGATTGCACGGCGCTGGCAGCATTAATGCATACGTCAAGGTGGCCTTACTCTCCGGCGTTGCAAGCAGCAGCAGCAGCAGCGAAAATTCGAGCTCCAACTCGAACTCGAACTCGAGTCGATACCAGCGCACGGCCGTCCATCGGCACTCGAGTCGTCCGTACTTTGATGAGCGCTTTAGCTACCATGTGCAGGATGCTATGCTGCAGGCAACAGCAACAGCAACAGCAACAGCAGCAGCAGCAGCAGCAGCAGCAGCAGCAACACCGACAGCGTCGACGTCAACGTCGACATCAGCATCAGCATCAGCATCAGCATCAACAACAGCAGCAGCGCTGCAGCTGGCCGTTTGGCATCGGGATCGGCATTTGAAGTGAGTACGAGTAAGGTCAATAGCAGCTATCAGCAGCCAAACAAGTATCATACCGAAGGCTGACTACTGTCGCCTGTCTGTCATGTGTGCGCGCGTGTCATTCACCCCCAATGGCGAGGACAATGCTAAGCTAAGGATATGCCTGGCAAAAAGGCAACGGCAGTGGCTGGGGCGGTGGCGGGGGCGGAGACGTTGACGGAGGCAGTGGTGCGGGGTGTCTCAGCCTAATTGTAACGTTTTCCTGTAGCACACTTTGCCATTGTGCATTTCCTGCACATAAACAAACGCAGCGCCCGCAGCGGGCGAAGTGGGTGGGGGTGGGCAGCTTGAACTAGCTCTGGAGCGACTTCCAGCACACACACACACACGCACACGCACACACATGTGCATGGCGCACATCCAGCGCAGGCGCTGTGAGCCCCATTGTCTCTAGGCCGCTTTCCAGCTAACTGTAAAATGTTGCCTGGGCTTTAGTTTTTAGGTTGGCCGTCCGTTGTGTTATTCCGTCTCTTCCACATCTTCTTCTTCTTCTTCCTCTTCGTGCTCTGTTCCGTTTCGGCTCGACGTGAACGTTGCGCTCAGTTCGAGTGTTAAGCTCGCGCGACGCAGACGCAAAAAGACGCAGAGGCTGGCAACGACGCTGCTGCGGCAAGGAACACACGCAGCGAACGAAACGCAACGACGGCGTGCTCTAACTGTTTCCCACAACAAATGTTGAAAAGTGTGTGTTCGCTCCATTGCGCTAACAAAAATAATAATAATTATTACTTAAGAACGTTTACACATTTAAACGTTTAGTTTAGTTGCATTTTTTTTTTTTGAGAAAGTTTTTTTTCTTGTTCCCTCATCTGTGCACAAACAATTGCAAGCGTGTGCCACATGCTCTCAGTGCTGCTCTGTGTATGTGTATGTGTGTGTGTGAGTGAGTGTGTTTATTTAAATGCAAACACTCTATGGTATGTTGGCAGTGCTGTAATTGCCTTTTGCGCTGGCAGCTAAAAGTATGCAACACAAAATTATATAACTGCTTATGTGTGCGTGCCCGCCAGCCAGCCAGCCGCTATTTGGCTCTACGGTGTGCAGATTTGGGGAATATGCGCAAAATCAAACTATAAACGCATACAGGTCCTGCAAAATCGTGTATTGCGGCAAATTACAAACTGCCCATGGTATGTGCGCGGCTCAACTCTACATCGAGATCTGAAACTGTTTACTGTGGAGGAACAGATTGGGAGACACACTAG